ACGATTTCGATTTGAAAAAAAAAAAGTGGTTTTATGAAATATGCATTTGAATTTCCACTTGAATTCTTCGAACTGAAGATTAATAAATATAAATTATTATATAATGCTTTCAATGTTTTTCATTTGACACGATATTGCAATGTAATAATATTTACTGGAGACTGACAAGAAACTACTTCATTTACAATTTATTTTCGTTTTATATTCAGATGCAGTATAAAAAGCTGTGACGTCGTCACAATACGATAAATTTAACTTTACAATATTTATGCTCCATTTTGAAATGCTTCAGAAACTGATGAAAGCTTATATTTCTTCGTAAAACTGAATGAAAAAGCAAATTTAGTTTTTTAGAAACCAGAAATATAAAAATGCAATATTAATTACAAATAATGTATTTTAAATATAAAAATGCAATATTAATGCAATATTAATTACAAATAACGTATTTTAAATATAAAAATACAATATCAATGCAATATTAATTACAAATAATGTATTTTAAAATTATATATCTATTAATGCAATATTAATTACAAATAATGTATTTTAAAATTATATATCTATTAATGCAATATTAATTACACATAATGTATTTTAAAATTACATATCTGTGTAAAAAAAAAAATTACATGAAAAAATGCAATATTAATTACAAACAATGTATTTTAAAATTACATACCTGTGTAAAAAAAAGAAATTACATTTAAAAAATGCAATGTCAATCACAAACAATGTATTTTAAAATTACATATCTGCGTAAAACAAAAAAAATTACATAAAAATGTAAAGTGAAATTTTTTAAACAGAAATATAATTTAAAAAATCTAAATTTTTAAACATCTCGTAACAAGACGAGGATTTTATCGAAAATTGAAACGTTCGTTTTGATATTTCGTTTTGAAATTATTGAACGCAATAGTCGGTCAACCGAATAAAGTGAAATATCTAACACGATATACAATGTAGATTAGAGGAATTATAAGCCGGTATCTTTGATTTATACTAAGAACGACAGAACATGTTACGTTCGCGTGACTAAACTCAATGACACCAAAGATTGCTTCGAATGGCGCGCTAACTTCCTTGCGAACAATTATTAACGAGATTTTACTACCAAATGCAAACATTATTCCAACGTTTCGTTTCACTGAAAACAATTAGATAGTGGATTTAAATCAAACGTTTTCATTTCGTTTATTATACTGAACTAGTGTTGATGCATAAATGAGCATGAATTTGGATCAAGTTGGACAATCGTTTCTTCGGCTCGTGCTACTAAAACAGCGAATTTAATATCATGAAATTAATTATATGGAAATAAATAAGGGGACGAAAAATTAAAATCAACCAAATATATAAATATCTTTTCGGAACTTAGTTGTATTTGTTCAATGTAGAAAACGAACACTAGTCTTTTCAGGGGCAAATTTATTGAAATTAGAAGTATAAGAAATAATTCTTATAATAACAAATAATTTTTGAAAACATATTTTGTAGAAAAATGAAATAGAATAAGAGACGTATACACTATATTCTTAAATGCAAGGATAAATATTTGTGAAAAAACTTTATGTAAATATTCATAGAAATATTTATGTAAATTATGCGAAAACTGGTCAGATATTATTTTATAATAATATACAACTGTTCACATTAACATTCGAACATTTAAGCTGTTGAAAAAAACATTTGTTGAAACAAATATAACGTACAACAATAAACCTGGATTCATTCTAAAGCTTTATATCATAATTATATAAGTATATAATAATTGTAATTATACAATATAAGTAACTTATAATTATAAAATTATACTCAAAATATACCATTCATTTTATTCTAAGATATTTTGTACATTACACAGGATGACAAAGTGAAGATATTCTCTTTCCCAAAAATGTTATAAATTGGCATAGTATGGTAAAAATATTGAAGAATGTGTTTCATGGCTGAATCTACAGTGAATTTAAAGATTGATGCCTTTCCTTTAACTCCCCAAAACTTAATGTATAATTTTTTCTTGCCATTTTATTGAAACGTTAGGCTTAAATAACAAAAATTTTAAAAATTGTGATTTTTGTCGTTATATTCGTTTTCGCCTTTTAATATTCAAAATTTAATAAAATGAAGAAAAAAAATTGTATATCAAATTTTAGCTGAAGCTTCAGTCTTCAATCCATTATAGATTCACGAAAAAAATTTTTCAATTTTTTTTTATGACAATTTATAACATTTTCGAGAGGAAAAGTATTATTTACTTTTTCATCCGTTACTTGATATAAAAAATCTTAAAATAATCTTAAAATATCTTAAAATAATCTTAAAATATCTTAAAATAAAATGAATAGTGTGTTTCGAGAGTAGAATGAATCTAAATATATTATTGTATGATTAGCAAAATTATAACAGTTTCAATATTTAGTATCAGTTCAATATCGGTATCAGTATTTTCATATATATCACTATCAGTATCAGTATCAAGTGTTTTTGAAGAAATAAAAATTTTGGAGATTTAGGACATACTGAAATTTTTTATCATAATCAATCAGTTGTGATCAATTACGCGAACATTTCTTATCGGCTAGAGATTAAACATGATTTCAAATCTCTGTTACAAGATTCATTTTTATAGAACATCAATCATGTCTGCATGCATATCTATCTATACACGTAACATTTTACTCTTGTAATATCGGTCGATTAATATTCTAGTGACAACTTTTCATGTCAATGAATTTAAAGTATTATCTATTCAACTGGGATAATTCATTTAATTTATGCGAACATTTTCTGCGGATAACGTCATACTATTTATTTTAACAATAATAAACGAGAAGAAAATCACATTGAATAAATTCTATTTTGTTCATTACATATGAAATGTTTGCATTCATAAATGTTTGTTATTTATGAATAATATCAAGTTAATAATAAAATTTATGCATTCATCGATATTATTAAAGAATTTGCGAAATTCAGCTAAAATTATATTTTTTCGTGTGTTTATTCTGTTTCTTCTTCTTTATTGGCAGAAAGATAACACAATGAAGAAAAATATAATTTGAGAAAAAAATATATATATATATAAAAGAGAAATTTAATTTGAAATTCATAAGAATTCTATCTATTTTTTAAAAATTATATTTTATGAGACGTGGTAACGTCGTTTCAACGGTCTGTTGAAATAATTCGTTTAATTGCATTGACCTTGTGCTTATGAAATGAGTGGGGAATGCTAACTACACCAGAGGAAAACAATTAAAGCATGTTCTAGAGACGCACGAGCATAGTTACTTCTTTTGAAAATTCAACAATCATTCGAAAATTTCGAAGAACAAGTTTAGACACATAATATATTTCTAAAATTAACACTGACAAAATATTCCAATAATTTGCAACTTGTTATATTAAAGTTCTATTTATTAAAACGATTACTGTTCTTAATTGTTATTAAAATTGCAGACAAACGAATCATCTAATCAATCACTTTAGAAGTGATTAATATTCCATTGTAAATCACGTTGATCCTTTAGAGACTAAATTTACTAGCTTTATAGCTTCTCAGAAGCAATAATCATAGTTTACTGAGTAAACAAAGTAAATAACTCAGTATACTATATATTACATTAAATAAACATTATTGAACTATCAAGATGAAAAAAAAACGAATCATCTAATCAATCACTTTAGAAATGATTAATATTCCATTGTAAATCACGTTGATCCTTTAGAGACTAAATTTACTAGCTTTATACCTTCTCAGAAGCAATAATCATAGTTTACTGAGTAAACAAAGTAAACAACTCAGTATACTATATAATACATTAAATAAACATTATTGAACTATCAAGATGAAAAAAAAACGAATCATCTAATCAATCACTTTAGAAGTGATTAACATTCCATTGTAAATCACGTTGATCCTTTAGAGACTAAATTTACTAGCTTTATAACTTCTCAAAAGCAATAATCATAGTTTACTGAGTAAACAAAGTAAACAACTCAGTATACTATATATTACATTAAATAAACATTATTAAACTATCAAGATGGAAAAAAAACGAATCATCTAATCAATCACTTTAGAAGTGATTAATATTCCATTGTCAATCACGTTGATCCTTTAGAGACTAAATTTACTAGCTTTATACCTTCTCAGAAGCAATAATCATAGTTTACTGAGTAAACAAAGTAAACAACTCAGTATACTATATATTACATTAAATAAACATTATTGAACTATCAAGATGAAAAAAAAACGAATCATCTAATCAATCACTTTAGAAATGATTAATATTCCATTGTAAATCACATTGATCCTTTAGAGACTAAATTTACTAGCTTTATAGCTTCTCAANAAGCAATAATCATAGTTTACTGAGTAAACAAAGTAAACAACTCAGTATACTATATATTACATTAAATAAACATTATTGAACTATCAAGATGGAAAAAAAAAGATTCGTCGCCGGAAATGAATTTTCTAAAAATGAAATAAATCTTCTCTGGCGTTGGTCGTAATTCTGATACTGCAGCAAACTTCGATGAAAATCCCTGTCTCGGCGAGAAACGCTCGGCCGAAAGCGCGATTCTAACTCATCGATTCACACAGTTCCCATAACAACCGTACGTCATCTACGAAATCACACGCGAGTGTCATCATCGATTTCCGCCGGCTGCGCTCCGGTTTCCGTCTCGCGCGTGCGCCGGAGTCGTATCGACAGACTCGCAATTTGTTCACGTCGAATCTTCCGGCGTTGTTTCTACACCGTTACCGATCACCCCCCCGCGCAGTTCGTAGACAATAGCCCCCATTGAACACGTCGCGGCGTCTCTTCCCGCCTGTTATCGGTTCTTTCCGCTGATCGATCTTCCGCGAATCGGCAGTCGCACGCGGCGACTTTGAAAAAAAAAAAAAAAAAAAAAGAAGAAAAACGGCAACGCCACCGGCGAGAGTAATATCGGGCGACAGGCGTGCTTTCAATTCGTCATCGGCTCGACCTTTGTGTCGCCTTGGTGTAGTAGTCGGTGGATCGAGAGCGACGGTGGCACGTTTATCGATCGTCACGTGATACGTCAGAGCCAGCTAATCAGACGAGCCCGCGAGTCTAGCGAGTCTGCCCCTCTTTAGGGATTTCAAGCTCGTACCGGCGGCGGTACGTGTCGATCGAGCGGAAAGTTTCCATCGTGACCAACCGACACGCGAGAGCCGCTTGCTAGTTCCGTCCCGGCAGCCGAGTGAAACTGGCCTTCCAGCCACGTCCAACCATTTTCCTCCGATTTTCCAGCGGCGGAGGAAATCCATGCCCGACATGGGATCTTCCTCAACGGAGTGGAAAATGTTTGGCTTTTGGGTTTCCACCCTTCTTCTAACGATTCGGCACACAGATGCCGCGCAAACGGAGCCGTTCGTCATTAGCAACACGTTGGATCAAGACGTCGCCAAGGAGTACTTTATCGGGCCGTGTCTAGTGAATACGAATCAGACATGCCCCGACAAAGAGGTCACGTTCTACCTGTACACGCAGAGAAATCCCAACGCGAGCCAGCAGATCCTGGTCACGGAGGACAGCTCGAACTTGGAACAGACGCGTTTCGAGCCTTCGAGACCCACCAAGATCGTGGTGCACGGTTACGACTCTGACATGGAACTCTCTTACCTGGTGGACGTGCGAAGGGAATATCTGAGAACTTACGATTACAACGTGATCGCCGTTGACTGGCATCGTCTGGCCAACGCGCCTTGCTACCCGATCGTCGTGCAGAATGTGCCGCATGTGGGCGATTGTTTAGCCCAGCTGATAGAGAGGCTGCGAGACGTCGGCGCTGTGGATATCCACGTGATCGGCTTCAGCCTGGGCTCGCACGTGCCCGCGTTCTCGGCCGTAGCTCTGAGACCGTACAAGATACCGAGGATCACCGGTTTAGATCCCGCCATGCCGTTATTCGTCACCGTGGACAACGATCACAAATTAGACGCGTCGGACGCGGACTTCGTCGACGTGTTCCACACGAACGCGTTCATCCAGGGCCAGGTGGCGACGAGCGGGCACATAGATTTCTATATGAACGGTGGGATCAACCAGCCAGGTTGTTGGGAGAGATGGTGGAACCCGTTCAAGTGCGACCATCACAGATCCGTGATGTATTTCGCCGAGTCGATCAACACGAAGGTGGGTTTCTGGGGCTGGAAATGCGGAGGGTTCTCCATGTATCTGCTCGGTCTGTGCCCACCGCGGTATCCGGCTGTTTTGGCCGGCGACAAGGTGGATAAGAAGAGGAGAGGCTTCCATCTGGTGAAGACGAACGCGCACAGTCCGTACGCGATGGGGAATTTCAGCGTGAATCAGTTGGACATGTACACGTAAACTCGCGGCAATGGGTCTAAAAACTAGCGAGATGCGACCGGCGCGATAAAGCAATATAAACGAATATATACGACGTAAGATCTGCGAAACGTGATTCTGCTCTCTTCTGGTCGCGAGACGGCAACCAAGCGACCGCTCCAGCAACGTGAACCTCCAACGAATTGTCGCAGTGAGCGTGAGAGACTGAAAAACACGTTCTGTGTCAAGGTCAGGGGATCTCGAGCACCCGCGGTGCTCCGCTAATCGATAGAGTGTTCGACGTAGAGAAAGAAGTGGGGCTGACACGCTCGTTCAGAAACTGCCTCCTATCGATAATACGTGCCAAGCGGTTATGCAAATTATCATCGGACTTCTAAATCTTTCCCAAGATGATTAGACTTGGACTTTTCTCGACAAAGTTTTTACGCGAATTGTATTTATATTCAGTATTTTCTACTCGCGTTAAACTGGCTAGAATAGTGGACTTTTGATATAATAGTTTGAGTTTGGGGGGATGGATTCGTTACATCGGTTCGAAACACAAGCAGATAGACTTGCTAGAATTTGTGCGATGTGAACTCTTTACTCTTCTAATAATTTGTATATATTTACTTGATTCTACATGTGGCATGCGTAAAGACGTAACAGCTGTCTATGTTGCATTTTGTATTATATATTAACCTTTTGCGCTGGAATGGCGTGCCACGCACGTCAAGAATTTTTTTCCCCAAATTGCAACATTTTCTCAGTTTCAAGTATACTTAAATGTAACCCAGGAAAAACAGATGACAAGTTTATTACTTCTTAATAATTTGTATCCATACTTTCAAAAGAAGAAGAAAGCGACGAATTACTGTATACGATTTGGTCACTCGTTACGGTCCGCGAACCAGTTGCAAGAGGTTAAGTCCTAATGTTACCCTAGTCACTTCACACTCATGTCTTACATGAAACTGGCAAATCAGTGGTAGTCGTCCAATCCTGTCTTACGCGAAAGAAATGCATCTAATGAATCTCTGTAGACGTGAAATAGAATGCATCTATATATAGGACAAACCACTGAATGACTCCGTTGTTTTCAGAGACGGATAAATTTCATTAATAAAAATTATTCAGTGCTGCAAAGGGGCCATAATGTGATTTTGCGTGATTTTTGCGTGAGTGAAGGGTTTTCGAGAATTTCAAAGTCTATCTTTTTAAATGGAATTTATAATACATTTTTTTTTTTCATTCACCAACCAATGTACGTTTTCAACGTTTTCTATAAAAAAAAGAAAAAAGTATTGACCTATTTATGTGGAAGAGCTATTGGTTTTATTATGATAGGAGATATTTTAATCTTAATTCTGTAAAGTCGATCGATGAGGAATGACAGGACTTGTGTTCATACTGTATTTTTTATACATAGATTTTACAGAATCAAAGTTAAAATCCTCCCAAACTAGCAGTTTTTCGACATATTAATACTTTTTTAATTAATTTTAGAGAATGTTAAGATGAATCGATTAATGAATAAAAAACGTTTATTACGTTTGAAAATGATCTTGAAATTTTTGCAAACTCTTTGCTTACAAAAAAAAAAAAAAAAGTCATTACTGCCGTATTATAATTCCCTCAGTCGTTGAATAAATTTTATTAACAGAGTTTATTCATGTCTCTAAAAATATTTAAATGATCCATACTGTGTGTTCTATCGTATAGAATAAAATGCGTTTAATAAATCATTCATATGATAATGGATATTTATTTTCAACGTGCGTCTTATATTTCGTATGTAACGTTTGCAAAATTAGACGGCTGTATATAATTTATTAAAGAAATTTGGTTTCAACGAAATATAATAAATTATATATTGAACGTGTACGTAGAATTTAATTTCGGAAGAATATGTATAAAAAAATATAAGTAAATTACATTTTGTTAATATTGTTGAGTGTTGATTGTGATCTTGATGTTATTTATCGGTAGAGATTTGACTACTATTTATTACTAGTTACTTTTATACTGTTATCTTTTAGTGATATTTATAATTCTTATTAGAATGAAAATAATATTATTTTGTTTAAAACAAGAGAGAGTATTTATTTCCTACATCATTTATTTATTTAAATTTTTATGTTTCGATTATCTCTACATTTCTCATTACATAGAGTATTCTTCATTTATAATTAATGAAATATTTAAATATTTACTTCATTTATAATTTACTGAAATATTTAAAATGATTAATAATACGTAAATTTTAGTTCATAATAAAATATATAGTTTATAATAAAATATAATATGTTTATTTATAAGTATTTGACATAGGTATTTATTTATAGAAAACGTAAAATTATTTTATTATCAAATCAAGAAAACAATAATTACATTTAGTAATAAAAATATTATTATTATTACTACAGAAAAATACATTTCTATTAAATATATACTCATTTAAAATATAAAAAATATTGATTTATCTTCGGTTACTTATTTGTTTATTCATTTATTTAATTCCCCTGTGATCTTTTAAATTCAATATATACAATTGTACTTCCATTTCTACTAAAAAATTTTTGCAAAGAAGAAACACTTAATATCAAATTAAGATATATAAACATGTTAATAAAAATTTATTTATATTAAAAAATTTAGAAATTTTTTTTAATATAGAAAAATAGGTTTGTACTGGAAACAGTTAAAGCATATTGAATTAGTTTTTATAAAGTATTATTTTCTATAATTTTCTGTAATTTTGTAATGTCAAATAATATCACAAGGAATGATATAAATTGTACGGTACATAATTAACATAGAAATATATTAATATTTATTATTATATTATAATATTTCTATTAACACGTAAACTCAATTAAACTATTTTTTCTGAATATTTCAAACTGATATCTTACAAAAGAAAACATGTAATAGGAAACGACACATTGTTGTTTAAAAAATTATTGCAGTATTAAGAAATTAATATTAGTATTGCAATATTATTAAAAATACAATAAAAATATTCGTATTAAATATATAACAATATTAAAAAAATTTTGCTAGTAACTTGGTTTCATAAAGAATTAATCTAACCATAACCACTACTATTTATCTGATTTAGAAATTCAAGTAAAATTAATTGTACCTAATATTACCTTACAATAACTTAAATTAATTAATCTTGATCATATTTATATTATTACAATTCAATCGGCAAAAATACGAAAATTTTCAAAAGAATAAAAATATTATTAAAGCTGCTAAATATTATACTCGATAATTTATGTAAATAATATTCATAATAACATATAATATTATTCAATATGTATTTATCGTGTTAACATTAATAATATTATATTATTAATAGTAATATTGGTAATATTAATTTGTATTTAAGTAATATTTATTTAATTACATTAGATAAATTACATTAGATTGCTCGAATGTTCATGAATTATGATAATTTACTATTCTGTGATCAAAAATTAAAGTGTCCATTATAAGCAATTTTCAGTGAAAGTGTTTCATCAACGAAATATAAAACCATTCATAATATTTTGCGTTCTTAAATTAGTAAATTATTTTAATGCTTCACTGTAATTGTAACATGTTTTATTTACTTCAGAAAACTGTCCATATATTTAAAAATACACTAATCGATTGGAGATAGAAAATAAGTAAAGAACAAGCGAGGATGAGTTTCCGTTAATATTAAAAAATGAAAAATCGCAATGGTTCCCATGATGTAAAATTCATTAATAATAGCTGATAATTTTTATGACAGTCATGTGATAACCCAAACATGTTTCACTCAATCATTTGTCTTCTACCTATTTGATATTACCTATACATATAATATATTGTTTTTTTCTACAACAGTGTAAGTATACTCAAAGTATGTAATTATTGAGATAGGTACGCATTTAAAAATTTTCATAAACGTCACTAAAGTAATAGAATATAAAAGAGAATTTATTTCATCTATAATATACTCTACTTTATATAAATATTTTTATGTATTATATGTTTACAAATAATTTTTATTTATACATATAATATATAAAATTTTATATTTATATTGTGTATACATTTTTACAACTTTCAGTTTCCCATAAATGCATAAATTTACGTTCTAAGTAATTACTAGAAAAAATTATGGCTTACTTGATAATTCTAATCTGTTATAATATTTTGTAATTTTAATCTGTTATAATATTTTTAAAAATAATTCGTAAATTTTATTATTAATTGTAAAATTGAGAGTAAATAAGGATATTAATAGATCAATTTCAATTATATTAATTATAATAATTAATTATTAATAATTTAATAATTTCGAACAGATAATAATTTATTTTTAACAGAGATGACGTTCTTTGAGTGGTTAAAAATAACAAATAAAATTGTTAAATAAATGTCAATTGAAAATTGACTAATTTTTTTTCAATTTAGAGAAAATAAAAATATATCATATAAAATAAATTATAAATAATAAACACATATAAAATAAATTATAAATAATAAACAATAAAGAAGATGAAAATTACATGGATGAAACAGTTGCGTTGTGTGAAGATGCAATCGTTGAGGATAAAAATATCTCGTGTCGCGCAAAACTATTTTAATTTCTATTGCAACTTTTTCTGCTGGTTTCCGGAAGAAAGAGATCTGCATTTTCATCTGTTGTGGTTAGATTTTTTTCATAGTTTCTATGATAAATTGAAAAATGTCGCTTTAAACTAAATTGTTCAAATATTTATAACGTTACAAAAACGTACATTGTTACTTATGAAAGAGTCTATAGAATTCTAAGAATAAAATTTAAATACAAAAAAAATGTTCAAACTGAAAACTTGACCAGTGTAATTTTTCTTACAGTTTCTGTCTTACAATGTTGCAAATACAGAGTTTACACGGTTGTAAAAAGAATTCATTACTTGAATGGGGCACGGTGCAAAGACCTTAGATGATCTAAAGGTCTAGAAGCCTTAGTGCATGATCCTGTTAGTTCCTTGAAAGCCGACTTCAAGACAAAAAGGTTCGTCATGCACTATAAGTCGCAGGAGGAACGTTTCACAAGTCAAAGACTCTGCCAGAAAAGGCTTCGATTAACTTTGTCATTTGGCGGTACAGATTTTCTTAATAACGGAGACTGTATTACTTATATTATAGTTTCTCGTACTGTTTCCTCACTCGCATTATAAATATTTGGTAATTTTATTGAATTTAATTAAATTGTAAAGCAATTGCGACGACTAAATTAACGAAATTTATGAAACGATAGAATAATTTATATTCATAGGTAAGTTTCAATTTTGAAAATCCAATAATAGATGATTTCAATTTTTCAATTTTTATAGCATTTCAATATTTTAATTTTTATTTATTGAAATATAAAAGTAAATGATAAATTAGTTATTAGAAGACCAGTAGCATCAATAATTAGAATTATTTATTATCTTTTTATGGTTCAAAAATTTGAATTACTTATTAAACGATGTAATAATAATAATTTGTTATGTATGTTGTACTTTAACTAATTATTATATATATTATATTTTATATAATTATTATATTTTATATATTATATATTATATAAGTATTATATTTTATATATTATATATTATATAATTATTATTATATATATTATATTTTACATATCATTGCATATGTATATTATATACTATAAATATATTTACTATTTGCATTAATTTTGAAAGTTTTTTCTTCCAATTCAGAACAAATA